ATTGAATCACTTAGCTCGAGTACTTAATTCTATTTTTAAAAAATAGTAGCAACATGTGTTTGCTAAATTTATTCAATTTTATTAAACACAGATCATTTAAACCATTTACCAGGAAAATAAGTATCTTAACATCTTACTGTCTGTAGACAGTATACTTTAATTCCTCGCTGTTAAAATGTTTTTATTTGAAAGTGGGACTACAGAAAGAATAACAAACTGCTTGTAAATAGCTTAAAAATTAAATGTTTCAAAAGCACTAAATATATCCATTACATCAAAACTAGTTTAAAATGTGATGCTCATATGAAGAAACCCTAAGACATACACAAGGTTCAAAGTGAAAACAGCGGGAAAGTGAATTGTGGTCCTTTCATGGTGGGATACAGAGAGGTAGCAGTTCACTTCTCAGAAAACAAAAACACCTTGCTATTCACTCTATGGTTCCAATCTTTTGCCGTTCTCAGCTCACCCTGTGTTTTATTTTTTTGTTGTTGTTGTTTTTGTTTTATTGTTCTAGGGGAGAAAGCCTGAGAGAAGGAAGAGATGACAGGAATACACTAGATAACATAAGAAAAAGAAACTATTGTTCATTTTGCTCTCCTTATATAGGACCCCAAGGATACCACCATGAAATGCTAATGACCCCACAACTAAGTTCCTGAGGTAACAATCTAATCTATTGGGAATGACCAGGAAACCATTTGCAGGATCACATCTATAAATTATATCTGCAAGCTGAATCCTTCAGAAACTCTTGACTGCAGCACAGCTAAGCAGTGAAATAGAGACATGAACCTTGGTCCCAGAGTGTAACAGTAAGTTGTTCGACAGCTTTCTAGTCAAAGAAGTGAGATCTCCTAAAGAACTTTAAACCTAAGTGCTCACTAAACATAAAAAACCCTAAGGTTTTCATGCAGCACTACACAGCACAAGGAGATAACTATGCAGTCTGCTAAAAAGCAAGGATTTAAAAGTACAACTTCTGGGTCAGGAGAAGTCTCACTGAATAAGGGCACTTGTGCCAAACATGGAAACCAGAATTTGATCCCCAGGAGCTATATGGTGGGACACCCAACTCTTTCAAATTGTCCTCTAATTTACACACCCACACACATACAAAACAAATAAAATGGAAAAAATTAAATAAAAGATACAATTTTATAACACTTTTATTGGGAAGAGTAAGAAACTAATTTAGCTGTGTGAATTCCAAACACTCCTGTAAAACAGTCATTATTCCAAGCTTCCAGTGGCAAGAGTGAAAGACTCTGAATTGGACCTTTTCAACTATATGGCCTCCCTATACCCATAACAATGCACACACATACACTGTCAATCATTTTGACTGATTTTGCCAAGTGCTCCCAGAACCAGAATATAAGGCATTAAGCTGGGACACTCCAACATTCCTCCTCATGCATATTATTCTAAAAAATTCCTCTTTAGTTCTCTGCAATCAAACTCCTTCCAAAAATAAGAAAATAAATAACAGAAAACAAAAACCTGGGTACTAAGACAGAAAACACCTGGATACTGGGATATGTAATATGCACATTCAGCAGATTTTCCCCCCAAAACTTGGCCTCAATCTTCTGAAGGCACATGACCTTCATAGCTCCCTCCTCTGCAGATGCCACTTTCCCTAAACCACAGGCCTTCCTGGCTTGCAGCAGGGCCAGGCCAGATTACGGTTATGTGGTAGATCTGTCAGGCAAGTTTTGACAGGGCCTCAAAATAGAGCCTGGACACCATCCAGGGAAACTGCCACTCTTGAGCTCCAGCTTCACCACACTTGAGCCTCTCAGTACTTATTTCTCTCTGGTCTCTCATTCCAAAAGGACAAAGGCTCCTGAACCTCACCCTGGGCATGAGTCACCTCCCTTACTCTGCTTACCAACTCTGCAGAATAAAATCTAAATCTATACCTACTTACTGCTTTGACAAAGGAATACACCAACAGTGCTCTGCGTTGCAAAGGAATTTCTGGCTCTCTGATTCCATCATTTATTCTACTTTGAATAGACAGACTAGGATGTGGAAAATAAAGAGAAATGGTGGGTCATTTCTTTCTCTTATGACTAATATCAGTTAACTTTACCAGTGCAAAAACATAAACTATATAAAAGTTGTGGTTTTTTTGGGGGGGGGGGATTGGTTTTGTTTTTTGTTTGGTTTTTTTTTTTTGGTTTTGTTTTTTGGTGCGTGCGTGCATGTGTGTTGCCCTAGCAGGCCTAGAACTGGCTATACAGACTTCACAGAGGTCTGCATCTGCCTCCCAAGTGCTGGGATTAAAGGTGTGTACAGCCACCACACCCAGCTATATAAAAGTTTTTAATTAACAGAAAATATAAACTCTGAAACAAACCTACACGGTACAGCCATTTTACCAAATATAAGTGGCTTATGTCTGTCAACACCAGACTTCAACTATGGTATTTTGACATTTACCAGTTCAAATTAATCATCTGATATTCCAAGATGTCTTAAGTTGATTTATAAAGTACATTTGCAATTTTATTTGAGACAGGGTCTTATTACATGCTGTATAGACCATGGTAGCCTAAACTCCCAATCACCTGGCTTAGCTTCCCAAATGCTGACAACAGAGGCACAATATGAAGCTCAGCTTACAATAAAGTAATTTTTAAAATTCTTCCTCCTCCAGTGTCTGAGAAAACATTATCTCCTATTATAAAACAAAGTCTACTATAAAACAAATTTCTCATGTTCACAACCTAAGAACCAACCTCACCATCATATATTCCACAGATACACTTATAAACTGCCAAATACTTGCTCAATGGTTTTTCTTATAGCACTGTTTACAGAAGACTAAAAATGACCTAGTGGTTACTAGTAGGAACTTAGTAAAACTATAGAAAATTAATAAATCCAGTCTCTTTAAAGTAAAAGGAATTGGAATAGGTGCTAATACAGAAAAAAAAAATCTCAGCTACAACACAGGTAAACAACATTTCTTTTGTTTGTTTGTTTGTTTGTTTGTTTTTCGAGACAGGGTTTCCCTGTGGCTTTGGAGGCTGTCCTGGAACTAGCTCTGTAGACCAGGCTGGTCTCTTTTTTTTACAGAGCCCCCCCTGCCTCTGCCTCCCAAGTGCCGGGATTAAAGGCGTGCACCACCATCGCCCGGCAAAAATTGACTGGGGTGGGACTTTTTTTTTTCTTTTTTTTTTTTTTCTTGAGACAGGGTTTCTCTGTGTAGCTTTGGAGCCTATCCTGGCACTCGCTCTAGAGACCAGGCTGGCCTGGAACTCACAGAGACCTGCCTGCCTCTGCCTCCCGAGTGCTGGGAGACACTTCTAAACACATGAAACTTCGTATGTAACAGAGAATTATGAGGCAGATACAAAAAAAAAGACACATTACCCATGGTAGCTTGGATAGGGGTAATAGATGCATGGGATGGTAAAAAGTTTGTGACAGAAAGTAAACCTTTTTTCCTCATGTGACAGTTTCTTTTCATACGCTTTATCAATCTTTAAAAGCTTCACAAATGCCACTGAACCCATATCATCAGTCATTTTCCCCTGTTTCCACTGTCTCTGTTTTTACCTGTTCCTGTCCCTGCCCCTAGACTACAAGAACAGCATACTCAGGTTTCCCGAGCGTGTGTGTCCAAGTGACTATCCAAGTAACAGCATTCTCTCCTGGCTCCCCACGCCAACCAACAGAATAAGTTAATAACTGAACAAATGAAAACACATAGTACATAAGCCCAGTTTTATGGTTTATAATTTTAGTCTAAAATATAATTGTTTTTAAGTCTAATTTATTTTTGACCAAAAGTTTGAAAGGTTAAAGTGCAAAGTGCAATGTCAGTCACTCATTTCCCAAGATAGTCCTCCCATCTATTAGGTTTCAGGGGGAAAATGGATAAGATATTTTACTCACAGGGTAAACTCTGCTTGATTCCTTTCCTTCTAAAGTTTTAAAAGCTGAGCTTTGAATGATGGTCAGAGTATTCTTTATCTGCAAACTGGATAAGGTAGTGTGTTTTCCCAGGAAAGGAATCAGGAGTCCCCCATTTACTCTCCCACAAACCACACTGTTTTGTATGCACAATGGATAGCACTCCTTGGGTGAGGACAGAAGAATTTTATTTCCTCTTAAACAGTCCTCACCAGTGCTCCCACCATCCCCAAGAAGTATCACCCCACCTCATCAATTCTGTTCCTTTTCACTCTAGAAACAGGGCTAAGCAATTCACAAAGACTTTTGCAAGAAATCACTCCCTCCTTCTTCCTAAATTAATAAAAAGAATTGTTTTTATATTGCAAAAGAGAGATACCTAGCCAAATATATTTTCTATCTCTCTTCCCTTCATTATGGAGATGTTTTAGTCCTAACCTAAAAAGATTTATTTCCCTTATGTATTTATGCATCAAGACTGTCCCCAAAGAAGGTTTTCACAAGGGATTTTCCAAAAGTAATCTCTATTTTCAAGGAACAGAAACTCTTAAGTCATCACCCTATCAGCTAGACAAAAATAAAAAGCAACATTAGGGAACACTCTGAATATAAGAACGGATATCCAAAGTGAAAAAGATGCCAAAGTGTAGCCAAAGAATGAAAGAAATGTCTGTCTTAAGCAACACCAACAAAGTAAAGTTGATATTACTTTCCAATGAATCAACAGGACTTCTAACTGTCAATGAAGATAAAATAGGAAGGACTTTAAATTTAAACAAAAACCAGGCAAACAAGGTCACCATCAAGAACTGTGGTATTCAAAGTTATTTTGCATCTCATTTTGAAAGACTAAAATGATCAAATTACACTGCAGCAATAAAATGTTATTTCTAGTTTGAAATTAGTCAATTCTAAAAATAAACCAAAACTTCAATACACAATTCCTTCCAGAAAAGAACAGAAGTTAGTATAGTCTCATTCAACATTTTTCAGGATAGAATGCCAAGTGCTACAGCCTCCCACTCAAAAGCTATTTTATATAGTACAGGCTCTCCCACGGGACTTTTTCGTACCTTAGTGTTGGTAGCTCTCCTTTCCACTGACATTTATTTGGCATCTAAACCCCTTCATTTGTCTTCCCACATCTGGATTAAAAAAAAAAAAAAAAGGAGGGGGGTGTTAAAATCACAGCAGTCCATTTAGTAACTAACAAAGGATTATAAATCAAAGCATGTTGCAAGTTTTGAAGTTTTATTTCCATACCGTAGTGCATGACAATAACCACCCAGCAACAAACAGAACCAAACACACATCACTTGTTATGAAAAGAGTAAAATTATCTAATTAAACGGGGAGACACAAACTTGGCTTTCCACTGTTTCAGTGTTAAGATCCATATCAATGATTCACGCAGTGAGTGTGACCTAACTTCCTACATGAATCACACTTTCCGAAATTCTTATTCGGTATGAGTGTATTAAATGCGAGGTCATCGTCTCTCTGTAGTTGTTAAACAGAGCATGAGAAATTAAACAGGGCTAACTCTGCACGACGTTCACGCCATGGTAAACTTAGCCAGCTAACTCTCCCGGCAACACTACACATTCCCAAGTAATTGCAACTTTTCACACCCTCTGGAGCATACACTGGGGGGGGGGGGGGGAACGGACACGACTGTCAAACACTGATTAGGAATGTATCCATCGCTACCCTGCACTCCATCCCCTCGTTCCTTTACCGCATGTCCTCCCATTGTGATAACACAACACAGATAGGAGTCACTTGTTATCCTTACATAGTTTTGAGTCAATCAACCTACTGTACAAAAACTGCGTGGCAAAAACGCTGAGTCACTAAATGGAAACATTAAAAAAGAGCTACAAATAATGAAAATTTAGGATGCCCATCAGCCGTGTTCCAGCGTTTTGTTTGTATGTCTCGAGGTAGGGAGAAAAAAAAAAAAAAAGACACATAAAGCAAACACTTGAACTTTTCTCCTCTGGGTTTTATTACGTCCCCTGCTTCCTGCTGGATTCCCACAGCAATGGGAAACCAGGCCTGACTGGAGCTATGGAACTCCACTCCACAATGTGGGTGTAAATAACGCCCCGTATTAGTCAAGCATTAACCCTGACCGTCCTGCGCTGAGCCTCCCGCGCTTCCATTCAGATCCAGAGGCAAGCAACAGAGGGGGGGATCTCATTTTAAAAAGCTACGCCCTCCACC